TTCCACTGATGTCATGTACCCTATTATATCAATATCCTACATCAAAATAAAACCTTGAACACAAAACGAAATTAGCCACAATTGCTGCAGCAATTTCTCTCAGAATACTTAGACATTCATTTCAAGCTTTCCGTGATAGGTTAGTTCACTGCCTTTTTAGACTGGTTCACTTTTCGAAGTTTTTCTGTCCTAGGAGAATTTCAGACAACATTTGGCCAACAAGGCTTTTTTTACTAATTGGTACCTGCTGAACACGAATATCGATGTTGGCACCTCGAAATCTGTACCGGAAGTCCAGAATTCAAGATGGCGGCCAATTTCCGAAAATGTTTATCTTTTCACTCATGCGACCGATTTTTTCGATCTAAAAACTAATTATAATGTTATTCCTGACGTACCTCACGATAATAATAGTTAACTATTGTTTTAACAATAATGTAATAGTTCTTTTAGCGGCAGGATGCGTAAAATTAAGAATTACGAAATTCTTAGGTCTCCTTGCCAAAAGGAGGACTTGCAAAACGATTGTTTCTAGTAATCCTGACACATATAAGTATTCCCGACATGCGTTTATATTGCATAATTCTCGTTATAAAGTTTAGATAACTACAATCTTTCGAATTTTATGTTAATTTTTAAATGAAAAAATCGAAGGAGTTAAACTAAACTGCGGTGTTTCGGAAGATTCTTATTTTGCTAGGTATTAATTACCGTTACTCAGGATATATTATTATTATTCAAGTATGAAAGCATATAGAAAAGTGAAGACAAATTTATCTTATTTTCATGGTGTTAGGTCAATCGTCTTCTTGAGAATATAGGGAGTACAAATCAGTTGAGCCTTGCAACATTAACAAAGTTTTGACGAGCAATCCTATTTACAACGACAAAGGACGATATCTAGAGCAGCCTTCAGAATTAATCTAACGTTGTGAGAATGGGAATGTAGCCATTTTCAATTCTTTCCCCAGGAAATCAAGGATAGATATGCTAGTCTGAGCGACATTTCAGAGTTTAAGGTCAAAGAAGTACCTCTTGCGATTTACACCTGATATGCCGTAGGTAATTAGCGAAATGCTAGAAAAGATTAGATAGAATCCCAAGAGAATGGAGTTCAGAATTGTTAGATCTAAAGCTTCGCAGCTCCTGAAACCTGACAATACTTCTCCACTCTGGGAAGCCCCACTTGATTAACCGAGATGGGGCCAGGGACGTGCGCATGCTTCCAAACGGACGTCTTGTAGCGACTTCTCCCTACCGAACTAAGCGGGACGCGCACCGTCGGTGGAAACTATTGTATCAGCTACCTAAATAGAGGAAAAGACGCCACCTAAAATATGCGAGCCAGGTCGATACTCTGAACAAGTGAAGTTTCATGTACCTAGTTATGATACCAACCTTGTATAGTTTGTAGCACAATTACCGAAACCAGACTGAACTAACCAATTTCAATTTTTTAAATTCAAATTTGGCGCCTTATTCAATTTCTGATAGTACCGACAATTTTTGTTGTGTTGGTAGACCAGCCTTGTCTGAAACCCCCCTGCTTAAAAATAAAGGTCAAAAATAAATAAACAAATAAAAATAAATGCATCCAAGCGTGGAAATTCACAACAGCAATGACGTGACATCACTTCCTGTGATAGCGTAAAAGGACAGGATATTCGTTACTACTGCTTTTGACCAGTTCCTCTGCACATCATTATGGATAGGAACAAATACATATCTTTCTTGAAGTACCGGTCAGTAACCAAACTTAGTTTGCCAGTATTTTCTCGAAGTGATGAAGAAGCAACAGAAACACATCTGTATATGTAGCGTTATTCTAGTATCCGCTTCCTTGTGAAAAGCTTCTAAGGAGGAAATCTGTGTCGTCTGACGGTTACAGAAAACTTTTCTTTCGTCACTGAAGCCTCCAGCAATCACCAGTACGCCGTCAAATGATGCGCCTTCAAGGTGATGCGACAGTAACTCGTTTCTTTTGTTTTCCTCTAATGAAAGGAAATTGTTCCACATGTGAGGTAATGGAACATCGCGGATATCTATCACACGACGCACAGGAACCAAAATGCTTGCCAAAACAGAAATAATTTAATAATTACACGATGTGAACAAATTTAAACAGTAGCCATACAGTATTATGAAAAAAAGGTTTCCACTTTTACGCATTTTGAGGTTAGAAAAACTATGGAATCATTATTTAAACATTTGCTTTATTATCGTGCCGTACCTCCGTCAGGAATAACATTATAATCCGTTTTTAGCTCGAAAAAATCGGTCGCATGAGTGAAAAGATCAACATTTTCGGAAATTGGCCGCCATCTTGAATTCGAGATGCCAACATCGATATTCGTGTTCAGCAGGTCTAAATTAGTAAAAAACGCCTATTTGGCCAAATGTTGTCTGAAATGCCCCTAGAACCTGTTAAAACGCTGCTTTTTATAAAAGTGAACCAGTCTATTCAGTTAATAATAAAAATATCTTCACTTTATCTATCACTTATTGCAATGAAAACCATTTTATTGCTAATTTAATTTTGTTTTCAAGGTTTAATAAGAATTATAATAATTGTTTTTTGAAAAATTTTCCTGTACGAGGGTACTAACATGTTACATCATCGAAAAGAAAAAAAACCTCTATCAAATGAACCAAATGGAAAGGTGCACTGCCTTAAAAAAAAATTCAATTGTTTTTCGTTACTCATTTGTTTTCTGAAATAAAAACAAATGAATGCCGCCTTATTGTGGGAAATGAAATTTTAAACAACTTTCATACAGAAAAGTTTTGTATACATTCGATATTTTTAAAATAGAGAATTTTTTCTGATTAAAATGTACGTTGGTAGAAAAAGTATGTCGTCCTTTGTAGTGGCAAAAGAAAGGTCAGATACAATTTGGTGTCCATCATTTTATTTAAAGCGACCAGTAAAAAACATTTTCAAAAACCACATGTAACCGCAGAGACACGACGATGGAGCCTTTTAACATTTTCGAATACAAAACTAAATAGCCAGCGTATCCTTCTATTCCTATATATTGTGCCAACTCTGCGTTTGACACATCTTAAATTGAGAACAAACCACGCCGTTACCTACCTTAAAAGACTGCGATTTACTTACCTTATTTATAAACATCTTTTTCTGGAACTACTTGTAGCTGCTAAACTTCTAAAAGCAAAACAAAAACAACAATAAACCACAATAATATATTTAAACCTTTTCTAGATCAGCTACCACAGACTGCGGCTGAGGTAGGTACTCAAATGTGCAGGTTCTTAATTTTCACTTAGTTCCAACGAGTTCCTGCGATAGACGCCAACAGAACTACTACTGATACCGTTTTGAAAATACAGCAGAGTCTTTGTAAATTGACGCCCAAGGTTTACAATGGAGAAGTTTTCAGTTTCTTGTAAATTAATTATGAAAATTTAAGTAAAATGAAATAAAAATATGAAGGAATCATTAAAACACCTCCACAAATTAAAAAAAGGTACCTATAACATTGTGAAGTTGCGAAATAATTTCGTTTCAGCGTGTGACGTCACTTGACCTATCCGCATATGACGTAATATAGACCACTACTGTGTTACGCACTGAATATTTAAACTTTACTAGTTACTTTTCATGGACAATTTAATGTCACTGTCTTACCAACATCAAACTTATTCATTGCAATCACAAATTCACGTAACAAGTTTTAAACAAATATTTTAACAGAATTAAAAAGGAAATACAGCAGGTACGGGTTTTTTTACGTTCGTTTTATTCGGAGCGCACATTAACGAATTGGCATTGGCATAGTTTATAAAAGCAAACATTTACCTATTAGCTTACCTTCTACCCTTTACCCAAAAACTTTGCAATTTACGATGCTGCGGAGATCAATCGGGCTTTTGCATGATAAAGACTATGAAATATGGTAATGGTATGCAGATGCACTTCACGAAATGAACATTTTAAAGCATTTCAAATCCACACAGTCACTTCGCACTAATATTCAATAATCGATAAAGGCCAGAGTTGTTTGCATAATATCATGCAAATATAAGTTGTTCCAACTTGGCTTTATGTATATTTCACAATGGTGGGCGTTTACATTCGTAGGATATTTATGCTTTGCGCGCTTTAAGTTCGCGGAAATCATCGTTGCCGAGTTGCGGCTAGGTAGTAGATCATTGTATAACCATATAGATTTTTGGCTTTAATGGTTGCATTAAAGCTTGAAAGAATATTAAAAGAGAGGAAAAGAAATATTGAACGTAGTATCGTCACGTCGAGAAGTTCTACAGTCAGAATGGAAGTTGATATGAGCGGAAGAGGATACGACTACCTCAATTTCCTGCTCAAGCAACACGTCTTCACCACACACACGTGCTCTATAAGTTGCATCATCAAAACCACCATTTCAGCTATTATGCACATTGTGCAATGCAAAAGCACAACGTCACTTACTTTGGACGTAAAATAAAGCACGTTCTGTCGTTGACGGTTACGTGTTGGATGATGTGTTTTAAGTGTGAAATGTGTTACAATGAAATTAAATTAATTACCGTTTTAATGAGGTTTCTCGTTTGTTCTTTATAATTTATGGCAGCACGATTTGCCGTCTGTTTCACAAATGAAATGAAAAAGCCAAATTGTGCATTTTTTTGTTTCCCTTAATACTAATTACTTTTTCATGAGTAAAAACTGCTTAGCATTGTGTTTTGTATTTTTCGACTCTTCCCGGAGAGTTTCGTCAAATTTAACTTATAATTTGCTAACGGAAGTGCGCAAGAAATGTAACGGGAGCAATTGCCTTCTTTAACAAAATAAAAATATTAATGTAAGAAAACTGATTTTAATTTCCCCTTTCCAAAAATTGCCTACTTTCCCTTCCAGGCTATTGAGGGATTGGGTCCACTTTGTTCATCGAGAAGGCGTGATAGTAAGGGCAATGAAAATTGCATTGATACAATCGTTTAGAACAATTTTACACGTAAAGGACGATTTGACGACTTACCTTGGATTTCCTCTCAATGCAGCATGATGTAGGGCATTAAATCCATTATTATTCGTCAAAGTGATGTCAGCATTATGATCCAGCAGTAGTGTCAGCATATCGTCCCGTTTTTTCGAAATCGCATCGTGTAGGGGCGTATCTCCTTCGGAATCCTGTAACAAAACATAAATTAATTATTTATGCGCAACGCCGGAATTGGAGACGCAGTCAAGACAAATTGTATTAGCAGTAAACTGTGAGCAATGTAAACAGCGTCTATCTAAACATCATTTGCTAATTAGGGCGACATACAGCCCATTGATACGTCAAACCGCAAGCATGCAATATGTAACACGTTCATAAACGACAGTGATTTCGTTGATTAAATGGCGTTATTAAGTCGAGGATAATTGTTTTGCGTCAATCAATTGATTAAATCGTCGCTCTCTAACGATTTCTACACGAACCGGGCGAAAAACATTGAAGGGCAAAGCGGAGCGGAGAACGTACCGCAAAGCTTAAACTGAATGTAATTAGAAAATATTTGCCTCCAAAATGTTTTATGAAACTGTAGCATCTGTTCGAAGTTTGGGGACAACACAAACAACCAACAGCAAATAACATGAAAGGATGCAGCTTATTCAAACAAATTAGTTTTACTAGTAGCCCGAGGCGCAGCACACGTTTTACATGAAACAATGTACTGTGCTGTTGATAACAATGACTCTTCTGAACTTACCAACTCCTATAATAAAGAGACGATTGCCCTGTAGCAAAGCTCGTATTATTAGGCAATCATATTGATCTCGTAAGGGATGAAAACCGCCGCCAACTTTTCACGTTTAAAACGTTTAAACTTACACCGCGCCATCTTAGTAACGATGCAAAGTTAAAAGATTAAAACTTGGGCGTTACTAGGGGGGACAGAGGGCGCGTTACTACTCACCTGGGGGAGGAGAAGGGGGGGGGAGACAGTTCCAAACTGAATTTGTAAGATAAATGCGTAGTATAACAGAAACTTAAAGCTGTGTTAGATATACCGAATTAGTTTGTTGTAACATACACTGCCAAGTTAATTATAACTCGGTCTTTAGGGATGAAATGAAACTCAATAGGTAGCTGTATCATTTTCAACGAGATGTCATATTTTCCTCCTCAAATACCTGCTCTCAATTAATTGAACACGTGTTCAACACTTATTTTCTTAAGTTAATGTCAATGTTCTGTTAACAGTCTCAATGAAAGATGTTAATTAGTTACTTTAAATGTTGTGTAAACTACACCATGCGGGCGTTTTGTTGGGCGTCGGCACTTGCAGTAACGATGGGTCATTCTGTATTTGAATTTTTTATTGTGACGTTTAATGTGGTTACCAATTGGGATTAAGCGCTATTCCGATCATGTCATTCGAATTCTTGGTCAATCTTGTTTTGTATTAGTATTATTTAATGACGTTAATTTTATTTAAATAATCACCTTGTTTATTTGATTGTAAAGTTAAAAAGTAAACCCATTCTTTTGTAAAAGTTTATCTCTGGTCGTTTGCGATAAGAGTTACCGCGGCATAATCTAATTAGTTTCAAGAGAAGAAACGCAAATGCAGTTTATCGTTCAACAACGCATTAATTTATTAAGGAAGTGGAAGAGGAAGTTAAAAAGGAACGGAATTTGTTTTAAATTGGAAAGGAACTTGTGTGCTTTTGCCGTTATTTAAGTAGTACTTCTAGACACTTGGCAGTTGGAAAGACAGTCAACCTTGTTTAATTGTAAAGTTTGGTGGAAGAAAGTTTTACAGAGATTTAAGTCATCGTGATAAAACTGAATGTTTTAGTTTAAATTAAAGAAGAAAGGTTTACGAAGCCGTATGTGTTTTCCAGTAAATCGAGATTCAAGTGCAATAAAAAATAAGTGAAGTTCTCACAAGTATTATCAGTTTGATATTTGTGTTGACAATCGCAATTGATCGGATGTAAGGATTATTACAACTTTCAGGTAATTAAGATTTCTTTAATTAATTTTTACTGTCGATCGCTTGTTGCGTGGTATTTGTTTTTCTGACCCTGAGCAGCTATTTTTCTTTCAGCTTATTTGATTGATTTATGTCTAATAAATTTGATTAATCTGTAAATGGTTAGTTTTGTGTTTAATCGAGCCTATTTCATACCCAGAATTACATAAAGTGATGATTAACATTTTTTTAAATTAATTCTTTGGACGTGACCTACAAAAATTACAATTATTTCTTTTAAATGATTTGGCAGATCCCAAGTTTAAATAAATTGAGCTAGCTGGACAGGTGTTTTCTAGATGCTTTAGTGACCGTTTTCCATTTCACATAGCAATATGAAATGTAAAAGTTGTAGAAGTGACAGTGAGTCGTCTTAATTTATCACGGAAAAACAATGGCGTACCACAGCTAAGGGGTGCAAAAAATAATATAATTTTGTTTTGTATTTTATTTAATCTTCGTAATTACCATATCTTTCTGAATTCAAAAATATACTGCATTGTTTATTTATTAAACAATTAAAATGGGGGTTGCGCTACTGACTTGCCTTTTGGAAAGTTGTTATCATCAGTCAGTCATGAAATATTAGCAGTACCGAAGAACTTACCGCTTTTGGGTAATCTCTTTTTTCCGTACCCCGTTCCCGTTTTCCTCTGGTGCTGTAGAAACTCAGGGAAGTTCTTTCGGAGTACACCCTAACGCCTTCAAAGAAACGTAAGTTCTGAATGTTAGTGCTTGTTCACAATGGACATAAGCGTTACAAAAACATAACAGATACATAAAACATAATATTGACATAAGACATAATTTTACGCAGGTGGAGAAAGTGTTCACAGTGACCGTAAGATTATAATTATCTGCGTAGGCGCAAATCAAAACGTCAAGAACATAACAATATTATTTGTGGTGTATATGTGTGTGCCACTGAGATGGAAATTTCAACAGTTTTATTGCTTTTACTGTTATGAAGACACAGAGACAAAGTTGTTACAAAACAAAAACGGCGTTGGTGGGTCAGACCTATAAATCGAGACCGAGAGAAAAGGGGAGAATTTAAGAATTTAAGCTTGTCTAGAAATGAAGCTGCATGATGAAGAATATGGTTTTTTTCATACACCAGGATTATTCGATCACCTATTAAACTTATATCTTTTGTCCCCTTTATTAAACAATTAGGGTTTTAATCGCACCAAACTAATTAATAATTCGACGTCTATACGTTTTCCATGTCGTGTTGGATATAATCAAAAAACAACACACGAAGGACCAAACCACACCAAACTATGAAATAATGCGCCAAAAACTATGTACCAATTTAAAAATAACCAGATTATGTTGGCAGAAGAGATGTCATCGGCGTTAGACGTAGTAACTGAAATGTCAAACCAACAGCTGCGTCTTTGTACCCAACAGAAATACACCTAATTCCACTAGATTTTTCATAAAACCTACGTAAAGTTGAAACCGACCCAACTTTATGTATTTTTTATGTACCGTTTCGGTAGGACATAAAACATACGCAAACATTTACAAAAAAATAAAAATTATGTAATCATTGTGAACACATACGTTGGTTTGCTACTATTCAACATTATGAATTATGTATCTGTTATGTTTTTGTTATGCTTATGTCCATTGTGAACAAGCACTTAAGCTCCTTTTCGACTTGTCGACAATTGCGCCCGATCGGATTCTAGGATTTTTTAAAACTTCTTTTTTCGGCGATGTCGCACTCTGCTATTTCGCTTACATGAGCATTATTATGATTGGTTCGATTCTTGAATTTGGAGGAAATAAAATGGATTTTTAGTTTTTGAGTGTTTCTGTCCTGAATATCTTCAGCATAAAATGATCTTAATTGTAATATTCTTAAAAGCTCCATTTTCATTCGCGAATGTTAACACACCTTTGAAATGTCCATCACCCTTACGCAACAAAATGGAATTTTTTACTCGTATTTATTGATCAAAATGTCCCAATTCACGTACGCATCCTCATCAAAATTCTGGTCAACTGCTCTAGTTTGATCAGTTCTGTATTTTCTGGGACCGATACATTCTGGTCGATTATGGAGGCGCAATTACGAATGGAAGGAGAGCTTGTAATAAGAATTGGTAAAAACGAAGTGGAGATAGAAAATAAGCATTAAGGGAACAAGTGTTAGTTTTACGGTTATCGAGTGTATACAGTGTAGACTTGCGGAATATTAAACGGCTCGTGTTCACACAGGAGGTTTTGGTTTTTTTATTAGCAATTTATATTCGAGTCACGGATAAAAAGCAATAAGTAAGGAAGATATTAAAAAGTGGGCTACTGTATCAAGTTGTCCGCCATCGCTGTCAGTTTTTATATGAGTTGTGTATATAAGTTTTCTTTTGTGTTACGTCTCGGCGGCGGTGGTAAGTTGTGTTAAGGGTTCAAGGGAAGTTCGCATTGCGCTAGGAATGAAAAGTTGTAACAAAAGAGTCGGACTAGGTGGGCGGAATCGAAATGAAGACATTTTCTTCGGTTCGTGTCTCGGCATCGTAAGCAGCGCCTCTCCTTACATCGATTTCGAGCGCACCGGCGTAATTTTTTATTTGGACGAGTTATTAATTTCACTTCGAACGATACTATTTCATACCAGTTCAATTAAATCGATCCCGAAATGCAGTTAATATGATTAATGTTGCTTTCTATCAGTCGGAATTGCGAAAAACGACGAAACGAGCGAACAGCGTCTTGTCTTTGGTATTCTCCGTTCATTTTATTAATTCAACTTTTAATTTAATTTCGCGCATTGCGGCTCATAACTTTTCCGGATAATGGAAATTATTGAAGTGTCGGGGTATTCTAATTAACTCACTTATTTATATCTTGCGCGGTAAGGGAAAGATCTTAACTTATATCCCTAAAAGTAGATATCGATTTTATATTATTTTAGAGACCAAATTCAAATTTGCGAATGTTTTACAAAAACCTCCCAAAACTTTCAAGAATTGTCGTTTTTGAGAAACAATACCAAATCAAAAATAACCATTTTTTTATTCACTTTTCGTAGTCTGCATCTTATTCTAAAAATGATGTACCTAAGTCAAAATTTCACATGTTAAAGAAAAAATAAACCACCTTTTTGTTTATCCAATAAAAACAAGAGATTATCCGATTGAAGTTATCAGAACCTACTGGACCATTTTAAACA